ACAAAAACTCTAAATTTTTGAGTAAGCTTAATAGAATTCACATGTGAGGACCTTAAATCGTATAAAAAACATCGCTAAATAATTAACTATATGCAAAGACGATTTTTTTCCTGTTCTGCCGAAAGAAATAAAGAAATATATAATAACGATTTATCGTCATGAGAAGATAAAATAAAATTATTCCTATGGTCCATCATCGTCTCTTCAGATGGATAATTGATTGATATAGAGTAGAGTAGGCTCTTTGGCTAAAGAAATTCTCCGTCTTATGTAGCATAACGAGATGGTATATTTCTGGTCCTTCTGCACCAAGCATTTATTTTTAACGTTTACCTAACCTCAAGATGCCGGTCGAATCTAACATCACGAAAACCCTTCTTGTGAACAAAAAATAACATCGTATATGTACTTAAAATACGCTATATTCAGGGTTCCTGCCATAAACACATCTTAGAATAATACCGTGATATATAATCAGGATTGTATAAATGGCTCCTCATATCAGCTTTAAACACGATTTATCCTCATTTCCATGTCTGATGTGGCTTCGATAGCACGAACTTCATAAAAATCTGTTTTACCTAGGACTCTGCATGGCCAAATTTTCTATACTTTCAAACAGCACTCTATTTGACATTACCAACGCCATGATAATGAATATCTGTCACCTTTTTACATTTTTGTATCCTATTCTGCATACTTATAGCCGCCAATCTTTCTCCCTGTCAAACGACTAAATTTATCTCAGCTTATATAGAACAACCATTAAAGGAAAAGACTTGTAGGGCGAAATCCCAAAATGTGCATAGACGAGCTATACAAGCTGTTGTAATAGGTTGAAAGGCTGCGCTTAAAAAAGCCATAGATAAATTAATTTCATTTGTGTTTTTCCTCGGAAAAAAAGGTTGGAAGAAAGTCTGTACTATTTATTAAAACGCCATATAAACCATCCTAAGACCCAAGTAAAATAATAACTTCTAAACTAACAGTATTACCCAAATTACGAATCCCTTCCACATAATTTTTTCATAAAATTAAATGTCCATTTATACGAGATGTCTCAAAACTCTGCTCATAAACGAAAAATAAATGTCCAGTGACAATCACACCATTAACTTAGATTGATTGATTGTATAAGTTTATTATCCATAAATGGTAGAGGTAATAAAGCAAGCAGCTTTAGAGCCATGGTGATCCCATACTACGAATAGACATTTTTCCTGACTGCATGATGGATTGAGGTGAGTAGTGACAAAATATTTCCCCATGCATTATATTAAAACATGATATCATAGTTTCCTCATTTGTCATAATACTAAGCCGTACATTTTTGGTTAGATACATGAATGACTATTTTGCAATCTGGTCTCGTGGTAAGGAAAGCTTAGATAGTTTCCAAGTTTCGTTAAACCAATGTGAAAAGAACATTAGATTCACAATGGAAATAGAGGGGGATGGGTTCTTATACTTCATGGATGCTCTGATCATTAGAGACATGGGTAAGTTAGCAAGAGAGGCTTATAGGAAGTCACGGTATGTTGGTCCTTTTTTGATCCAACCATAGTTACAGAACTAAAATTGAATCTCAGTGAGTATGAGTCTAGGGGATAGCAACCATTTGACTAGAGTTAAAACAGCAGAAAAAATTATTCCTGAAATTCACTTATCCTTTGGGCTTAATTGTTAATAATTTCTAACTATTGAGAAATAAATTTTCACTCGGAGACTATTTAGTCAAATAAAGATAAGAAGAGACCATTTTTCATGTTCTAATTTTGCCGTCATAGTTTCGTTAAAAAAAAATCGGCGAACTAGTGAGAGAGTGGGAGATGAAAACAGTCATACTTTCTTCGGTTGTCATCATTTAAAGAGAAATGTGGCTGCTACATGTTTGTTTGCTCCTGTGGTCGACTCTGTGTTAGCAACACATGCTGGCCTATTCGATACAAAAATGTCTGTAAAGGGAGCTGTGTTCAACAGTCAGAGACTGAACATGAGATAAAATGGTCTCAAACCAGTAGGTTTGCTGATTATGGTACATCTGTCGTTAAAAGGAAGATAAGAGATGATATTTAAATTAATACATTATGGAATACATTGAATGTGAAGAACGGTGGTAGAAAGTTGAGTCTGCTCAGTGATGGTTCTAACTTCACTCATACTCGTCCAACATGTTAGATTAAGTCATGCCTTTCCTAGGGTGGTTAGACCTTACTGACCCTAGACTGAGAAGTTAGGTCAGGTGGTTTCGTAACCTGACTTACACAGTTACAAGCTTACATCTCATTACCTAAAGCATACTTGCTTACGGACTCACGCAATCTCGGTCATGGCTTTTTCTTGAGTCACGTGTCTGATTTAGGACATACACAAACTCGAGGAAAAGTAGAAGGAGCAGTATGAAAGATAATTAGCCAAACGAAACAATATCTGACTGTATTTTAATTATCGTTTTTCGTTGAGTATAGATCATATGATGAACGAAAGCTCAGTCCGTTTCCACCCGAAGCATCAGCTAATGTCGTCTTCTCCATGCACTTTTTATACTAACTAAATGGTTTAATGTTTGTGTGCTATGCTACTGTTTTGGCAGACTAACTTTGCATATATCTCATCGTTTCGCTGATTATTGCTAAGTCACAATAATTGTTTCATACAAATGCGTTGTCGGTTTCGGAGTAGACTTGTGAAAACGTTGGAAAAGAGATGTATATCCGGATGTATATCCATGTTATTATCACACTAATCCCTATTTTTCCACTCAGCTCGATATCAACGGAGCCGAAGTGGTCTTGGCGGGCCAGCCACTCGGAGAGGACTTAGACATATTAGAAGATAATGGCGAGGATTCATCCTCAAGTCAGCTGGACGACTACCCTGGCGGCGGATTCGGTAGGAACAGTCGGAGACGGAGTGGTGCAGCAAAGACAGGTTTTCCCAGTACCAGACTCTCTGAAGTCTGGGTAAACATTAGCCAATGGCAGGGTCCCCCATGTGGCCCTATGCATTCTCCATGCTCGCAGCGCCCCCCGGCTATCATCTGCCGACCCCATGAGGCTCGTGCTGAATGTGCTTGCTCTACTCCTCTACAAATCTCTCGGATAATGCAGCAGTTGCAAAACAGAATGCAGGAGACTGAAGAAATTACTCAAATTGAGGAAGAGAAAGAAGACAAAGAAATGCTGTTAGAGGGACAGGAAGAAAGAGGGATTAGATCTGAAAGTCGTACTAGACAAATCCTAAGAGAAAGGATTCAACAGCTGGCCCAGGAAGCGGAAAGGAGGGCCTGTGAAGATATTACTGTAAGAATAGGAAAGCTGTTGCTTTTGCATATTCTATAAATATAAACTTTGCTGAGTTTCCACTCGAATGCAGAGATTATCCAATATATATAAAAGTAAAATAGTACTAATTGACGTAAGACCTAAATGTGTTGCTGTCCCGTTTCAGCGTCAGACAGGTCATCAGTCTTAGAAAGAGCTAGAAAATCACATAAATTTTAATTGACATGTGGAGACGATTAAAAATTCACACGAGTACTGTATAGGGATATTCACAGCACAGAGATAAGCACGTGATATACAAGAGGCGTCCCAAAGCTGGCAACCAAATCATTCCTCAATATGGCCAAACGTCAAATGATCAAAAATGTTTTTGGGGGAATTAAGCTAATCTTGCTTTAGCAACAATGCTCGTGTTAGCCATACACTACTTACTATACCATAACCCATAAATGGGAAGACCAAGCTGTTGTGGCCACGGTCCTTTTTATCTGTAGAAACATGGTGTGATCTCGTTTTCGAACTTGGTCGCCTTTCCAGGTTGGCCTAATTGGCGAACCCTTTTAATACTGACATAAGCTTATCTAAAAAGAAAGTTGGCCTAAGTGGTTGAGAGATGCATGTTTATACACTCATCCGCTCATTTGATTGGCAATATCGCACATTTTTACATAAATGTTCCACTTTACACAATAAAGAATAATATATTTCATTAATTCAACAGCAAAATCTGCGATATCAGAAAAAAATTTCCGCTCCAACACAATCCGACCATGGTGGGGATATCAGCGCTGGCGACCAGCTTCAGCATGACGTACCAAGTCAGGCTCTCATGAATTTAGGGTCGGCTAACGATGGCACTATTCAGACTCATCGGACAAAGGGTTTGGAAGAGGCAGTAAATTCGCTAACCCTTCCCATCGCTAATAGTGCCGCAGTGAGGCCAAGTGAGGGAGATGGTACAGAGAATGCGGAAAATCCTAGAGAGCCAGAGTACATTCCGAGACAGAGGCCTGTGGAGTTCAAAGGAAATACCGTTCTCAGTTATCTCAACCAGCTGACCAATGCGTAAGCAGATAGTTTGACTCCAAACAAAAGAAATTATTTGGTAGGTAGGCCAAATGTGTGTATTTTTAAGGCCAATTCTGTCTCACTTGGTACATAATGAATTTTAATGAGATACATCATAATTAGCATATGCCCAAATCATGATAAGCTCTTGTATGATTAACATTACTCTTCCGCTGTTATAGATACTCGTACTTTAAAGTAGAATACGTCATTTTATCTCACATTTGTTAGCACAATCACTTGATCTTTCACTCCCCAGCCCCGTATTCGTTTACGATGAATTATTATTAGCAAGATACATTCTGCCTGAGACATATTCTCAGAAAATGAATATGGCTTTCTTCATGAGTGCTTGATTAAGCCTGTTGTAGCGCTAGACCATTCAGACGTTTTAGAAGTCAAAAGATAGGATGTTGAGTCCTCGATAGTCATTAGAAGAGTACTTTCTAGCAATTTTGCTAAAAAAGAGAGTAAGAATATCTCAAAATTATTACGACCAGCATCAATTTTTGGGCTGATCATTGTCTAGTTATATCGAGAAGTTGATTCATTAAGCCTCGAAAGTCAACAAGTCTTGTTGAACTTACTTCCATTTCGAGTGAAAGTGTTGGGTGAAGAGATTTGAAGGTCGGGGTTCCACCAGAAGACGATGGCGGATTCCGCTTGACCAGCTTCACTAGAAGATTCATGCTGACGCTGTTTCCGAGGCAATCATCTTCAATTCCGGTGAAAAGGTACTATGCTTTCGTCCGTCATATGATGGACATCATCAGAGCGAGGTAACATCGTCACAACAAAATTCGAGCTAGCGATTCAAGAAGTTGATATATGACCTTAACTAATTAAATCACTTTATACTTGATCAAAGAGGGCAGATGTAGAGTATATTAACCACTTTTTAGGGATTTTACGGTGAGTTTTCTTGACTCATAAGTTTGAATTCGGCTCTGATGATGTTCGTCAAATGACGGACCGGAAATTAAGGAGATTGTTTCGGAAACAGGGTCAGCATGAATCTTCAGGTAAAACCAATCGTCTTCTGGTGGAACCGACCTTCGAAATTCTCCAGCCAACACTTTTACTCGAAATGGAAGTGAGTTCAACAATTATGAAACAAGCGGTTCCTCG